CTCTCTCTCTCTCTCTCTCTCTCTCTCTCGTCATCTTTCTCTCTCGTCATCTCTGATAGCTACCGTCCGGTACGTCACTTATGCGATGAACAGTGCCCATCACATAGTACATCCCTGGGTTGGGTGGGAGGTCGGCAGCCTCCAACTCAGCAGCGAGATCCGCTTTCGCTGCCTCGATGACCTCCAGCTTCTTCGGAGCTTCCGTCGCTGCGCGCCGCGAATCCCTCTCGTAGTACTTGATGTTGTAGACGTGATCTGCCTCAGCGTGAGGGATAATTACCTCTTTGGGACGCGTGGCTGGAGCGAATGGCCTATACACTCCAGCAACCTTCACAGAGTCCAAGAACTCTCGGGCCGACGCCGGACCTGTAACCCGCCATGGAGCGTCCAAAACCCGTTTAATGCCACCAAAGAAGCGCACAAGAGACGAGCCACGTGGCACGCTTGCGGCCATTTCGTCGCCCGCACCGACAGCAGACGATCGCTGAGGTGGTCTAACCGCACGTGGCACTCTTTATCCACGTCACTTACGACTGCGCGCGCGTGCGCTCGACTCTCTAAGGCACAGCAGTGCGCCGATGACCAATCGCTCTCTCTATCTCTCTCTCTGTTTTGTGCACGCGCGATTCTGCTGCCCTCGAGCGTACCACGAGGCGGACTATCTCGGCCTTTTGGGTAAGATCAAGTGTCGTATCTAGAAAAAAGAAAAGAACCGAAGTTATTGTTTGAGGATTCCCCGCCTCCCCAAGGCGGCTCGCCACACAGGCTGTCGAAAACGGTTTTCGACAATTTTCCTTTTTTTTTTTCCATCTCTCAACTTCTGTTTTTTCTGCCTTTCACAACCTACTCCTAAGGCTATCTAGAGGGGACCCCTGCAAGCATTGCATCGCCTCACAGACTTTCGAAGAATTCCGGCTCCAAAAATTTTGAACAGGTGTCAGAATGGTACGCTCGACAGCCACCCTTCCCCATTCTTTTCCTCCCGCCTGCAGGGAGATGGAAATTCGAGAGTGGCCCACCTGCCTTTCGAGAATTGCGTTCGAAAATAAAAAATTGCGCTCGAATTTGCATTGTCAGGGACTGTTCCGTGACAGCCGTGCCCTGAGTCCATTTGGAAACGCACAAAAACCTCGCCCCCTCGACAGCCTGTGTGGCAAAGGGGGGGTAAACTGTCTACCCCCGACTTTCGATTTTTTCTGACAGCTGTCAAAACTCAAAGAGTTTCTTTTTCTTTTCTTCTTTTTTTTTTGGAAGAAGATCAATCATTTATTAACATGAAAGCTGGGAAAGGGGCCCGGCGTCCCTTACAAAAAGTCGCCGCAGCCCTTAGCTGAGCGAGGCTCTCCGGCCAGGCACACCTCATGCCACGCCTGTGTCAAGAGCAAAAATTCTTCTTCTCTCCACAGCCTGTATGGCGACGAAATATAATGAGCTCAGCTTTCGTGTACTAAAAATAAATAAATGAAAATAAAAACCGTGCCCTGATAGGCTCGCCACACAGGCTGTCCAAACTCAAAGAGTTTCGACAGGTGTCAGAAAAAAATTGATTCGAAAGTCCGTGGTCTACAGTTTACCCCCCCTTCGCCACACCGTCTGTCGAGGGGCAAGGTTTTTGGTCATGGCCAGGCAGACGACGGTGACGGAACAGTCCCAGACAACGCAAATTCGACCCTGGCAACGCAAATTAGAACGCAATTTTCGAAAGGTCGNGACGGTGACGGAACAGTCCCAGACAACGCAAATTCGACCCTGGCAACGCAAATTAGAACGCAATTTTCGAAAGGTCGGCGGGGCACTGTCGAATTTCCGTCACCTGCAGGCGGGAGGAAAYGGTTGCTGGAGGGCGGCTGTCGAAAGTACCATTCTGACACCTGTCGAAAGTTTTCTGAGCCGCAATTCTTCAAAAGTCTGTGTGGCGATGGAAAATTGTTGAAAACCGGGTTTTCGACAGCCTGTGTGGCGAGCCTCTGAGTCCATTTGGAAATGCACAGAAACCTCGCCCCTCCACAGGCTGTGTGGCGAAGGGAGGTTAAACCGCCGACTTTCGAATTTTTTCTGACAGCTGTCGAAACTCAGGGCATACTCACTAGCACGTGCAATCGCAAATTATATGTGAGCCAATTTGCGATTATATGGGACTTCCCAGTCACACAGCACACCCGTATGAGTCACAAAACAGAAAGGACACAATCTCGACTTGCTCTAGGAGTGCGATTATACGGGCTGAGGGGTCAGATAGCATGATGCATAACTCCATCCCTTTTTCCTGTTTTTTTTTCCTTTTCTTTTCTTACGAGAGGTGCCCACCAAAGGTCGAATTCTTTTTTCTTTTGTTTCCGGAAAGAAACAGGTCCAAAAGAATTTACGTAATTGCGGGGACCTCTAGAGGCTCCCACAAAATACTTAACCCCGCGGCTGTCCAAGCCGCTGACATTTACGTGCCCATTCGCATGAAAACGCAAAATGCGTAGCCCGTGTGACCCAAGAAATCACCTACAGTTTACAATTTTATGAAAATGCGTGCTAGTGTGAGTATGCCCTCAAAGAGTTTCAACAGCCTGTGTGGCGATGAAATATAATGAGCTGAGCTGTCTTGTAATAAAAAAAAGTATAAATAAAATTTAAAAAAAACTCCACTTCTACTTAACGTTTCCTAAGCGTATCTTACTGCAATGACGGCCACGCCTGGATGAATATGAAGGCAATCACGTCCAGAGCATTAAAGCAAAGAGGTGCAGTGTGAGTATGCCCGGGTTGATGTGGCAGGCACTGAATCTCAGCCCCTAACCGTTTAATGAATGTATAGGAAAGCAATTACAGCCAGGCGTGGATGAATCTGATGGTAATCATGAGCAAAGTTTAGCAGAAAAAATCCTCACGTGAGTATGCGCTAACTTTGAATCTGCGCCCAAGTCCTGCCTTGCTGGCAGGGCAAAAAAACATAAAAGGGGAAAAAAACTGAGTGCAGAAAGTAGAGCTCGGCCTGTCTCGGGGTCCCCATTCAATCCCTGAATCTCCTTTCCACACGGGTGGCCGAACAGGAAGAGATGGGTTCCCCCCTACTGCCTCTGGGCGGGCATCGAATCTGAAATGGCTCTGCAGAACTGAGTAAAACCATCTGCCACGGAGTTTCTAAACAGTTGAGCCATCCACTGCCGAAGAATGTGGAGTCACCAACCGCGATAGCTCAGTTGGTACAGATGCAAGTTCGAATCCAGATGCAATCGGATGATAGAATTACGCAAAGCTCAATAATGATGATATCTCAAGGTTGTCACCCTTTTAAAAAAGGGAAGAATGTGGAGTTCCAAAATTGTTCTGCAGTCCTAGCCTGTGCCCCAAGGCCAGATAACGAACTGAACAGTTCGGTGTCTTGTTTTACACACAAGTCCTAGATCGTGCCCAAGGCCAGGTACATGACTGAACAGTTCGGTGTCTTGTTTCCGAACAGTTCGGTGTCTTGTTTTACACACAAGTCCTAGATCGTGCCGAAGGCCAGGTACATGACTGAACAGTTCAGTGTCTTGTTTCTGAACAGTTCGGTGTCTTGTTTTACACACAAGTCCTAGATCGTGCCCAAGGCAATGACTGAACAGTTCGGTGTCTTGTTTTACACACAAGTTGTACATTAAGTGGCGCGACACTCCTCCTGCTTGGGGCCAGGAGGTCTGCAGACCATGAGTATATGATCAACCAGAATGATAAAGCACTCGACAGAAAGACTACTTCCTACCATTAGCCCTGACCCAAGGTCTCTTGGTGAGCTCTGAGGCAGAGGGAAGGCCTGAGCGACATGGACTGGACCTATTTCAGCACACGCACCGGACTGGACCTATTCAGCACCTGTGTGACATACTGGAAACGGATAGTCCACAGGCCCACAGTGGCCCCACATGCTGGCCGCCGTCGAAGCCTTGCACAGACCCTATATTTAAATAGACCCAGTGGGCAATGGATTCCATCACTTTGTCAATGGAATGGGAATATAACCACTTGTACTTTTCAGAGAAGATGTACATAGATCCCGCGACTGCTCTGCTACTGGAACTCCTTTCACTGTCTGTTTCTTTGGGTCTGAAGGCCAAATGAACCCGCTCAACTTAGCAATAGACGAAAACCACCTTGTCAGAAGGTATTCAGGCACCGCAGAGAAAGGTGCGGCTCGTGTACTTGCAAAACGTACAGGGGCAGGTGCATTATGACCGGCGGCATTTGTGACTCCCGTTAATCGAGGCAGTCTCTTTCCATGGATTTCCCTTTATTTGTTGGCAATGGGGCACACATCATTATTGTATCCATCAGGACCCAGCCTGGCAGGCATCCATACTACCCCCGATTCATTCATTCCTACTTTTGTAATTTATGCCCACCCAGCTTTCATCATCGAGGCGGAGCCGCTTTGGATTACAGCTCGTCAACACGACAAGTGCCAGCGGTTCCAGTGCATGCAGCAATTACAGATCGTCTACCGCGTGGCCGCGAGGAACACAGCCCTAAGGTAGCCAAAGCCATGAGACTAAGCGCAGGGGCAAGAGAGAGAGACAAAGATAAGAAGTGGTTGCACGAACTTTGTTCCTACCACACGTTCGCCCGAGCGCAGTAGTTGCTGTCGTTAATTTGTCACCAACTTGTGTCTTCATTTATGCAATCTTTGTGTCACTTGAAGTCGATGAGGCGTGGAGATGTTACAGATGTCGCTGTTGTAGGTGACAATCATTGCGACATTGTTTTGCCCCGATCGTGAGTAGAGAAAAAAGGTTGATGCCTTGCTAAGATCACAGTTGAACTGCTTGTTGTGAAGATTGTTACTTCCACAGTTGTGTACTGTGTCAGCGTGCCGAAAAGTTGTGCAATTTGTAACAAATTGGGGTTGAGACGAGGATGGCGCACTTGACGAAATTGCAGCGATGGTCGCGGTTGAAGGAGTTCATTTTGTAAAAACACATGACAAGCTTGTCCGTAGTTGGTTTTCTGTTGACATTTGTCTTTCTGTCTGCAGTTGCTTTGGAATCCTCTGCATGTTTCATCGGTGTAGGTTAGCATGCTAGATTTTAGTTGGCAACCAGCCTTGGCTTTTGGAAGTAACTTGCAATTGTCTCGAGTGTGTCACCTGTTGTTGTTTGTCCATTGATTGCTGCAATGGTCTCATCATGTGTGTGTATGTTTGTTTGTATGTGAGTGACTTTGGATATCTATGGCACATCACCGAAGACATGATGTAGGTACATGACACGAGTCCTTAATGCATCAGAGAGAGAGTCATACATATGACAAATATATAGTTATATATAATCATAGAAAATTGTCCTGGAGAAGGAGAAAAAGAACGGGCCAACACGATAAACTAATTGCTGGTAGAGGTTGACGTCGTTGTGCCTGTGTACACTTTACAACTCGTATGGCATTTGCATCCAGTGCTTTGCGTTGAGCCAAGCAACTATGTTGACGGCAACAAGTGAGGTAAAGATTGTCTGAGGGCATACTCATAGTAACATTTTTCTAAATGTATGTTACTGGAATTATGGCTAGGGTTGGATGAATCTGTTCGTCATCACATGCAGAGCTGAGTAGGGGGAAAAAAGTCATAGATATGATATTTGCAGCTTGTGTTGTGCGATGAGCCAAACAAATATCCATGAACTATGAACGTTGTTT